GCAAAGATGAAACAAATCAGTCTTACATTTTTACACATCATTTTTGCCTGGACTTCGTCTTTGGTCCATCCATCCATTGTCAGCTTTCTCCTGTAACTCCATGTTGACGTGTCGAAACACAGTGTACAAAACACAAACTGGTTTGTGGCTCCAGATCTTTAAAAATGGTGGCTGAAATAAAAAGTTGGGAGTATTTGATTAGAAATGTTTTTACAAGCCCCATCCTGGATGTTCCTGTGGTGGAAACGCACCCAGGTAAGGTTCCTGAAATCATCATTGGGATGGAGGCAAAAAGCTCAAAACCTACAAAAATAAAACCATAGCTATCTACATGGCTATATACCACTATTGGTACTAGTAGTATATAGTGTACAATTTGTTCTACCTTTTGGTGAACTGACCCTTTTACGTTTGATTAGGTAACAGAGATAAGTTTGTTATTCTCTTCACCTGTCTTTTAATCGTCCATTTGTCTTCCTCATGCCTGCAGGGAGAAGGCTGGATCTACAACAACCCATTGTGGAAGTCGACCTGACAGCAGAACAACACACTCTTCTCGTGGACAATAACTGAGCTCCGGCCTCTCCACAGCGAGGCCAGAGGTCCGGGAACTCAAGCAAAGGGACCTCCAGAGACCTTCTAGACCTGAGCTATAGACTCCCAGAGTGACAAAAACAGGAAACGAGCAAGGTGCCAAAGGGATCTCCACTGTTATAACCAAGATGGTGGTTGGAGCTCTTGGGACAAAAGTACATTTTTTATATACAGTTAATAGTATTACTATTCAAAGTAGAGTATTTCTATTTTTCACCTAGCCAAGGCCTTTTTTGCACACGCACAGTAATGAAGTTTGCCACTGGTGTTTTGCTTTTTTTTTTTTTTTAAATCAATATGTTTTCTCAGACATTGTCAATGTTTGGTTCCAAGCTTTTAGTTTGTGATGCAGCGTTAGAATGAATCGATACGAGTCCCCTGTTACAAGTAATACTGTAGCTGTAAATGAGCTGTTTATAAAAAGCACTTTTACCATAGAAATAAATTTCATATTTTATATCATACAGCTTTTACCAATCAGGGTGGTCTCTAAGAGCTTTACGGGAAATAAGAACACCTAATCAGATTTTAAAAGAGATATAAATCAAGAGATAAAACAAATGTACTACATTAGATTATGTGTTATATATTATTATACAGTACATTACAGTGAGCTACTAGAAAGTAGAGGTCCTGATTGTTTTGTCTGCACTATGAATGTATTTGGGCACATTTTATTAATGCTATGTTTCCACCTTGTACTGTTCACTAAGACACATGCTTTTTGTGTTTTACCTTTTTATTTTGCCACGTTGCTCTATTTACAGTATTTCACCCGCTGAGTGAGACGCATCTGCATAAACAGACATTTCCATTACTACCTCTCTTATTCAGCTAAACCAGCCATTAGCCACTTTCTCTTCCAAAACAAAACACTCCTGGGTCTTCTAATCTTTTTGTATCTGTGCCCCTGAGATGGCACTTGTGTAATTAGGCAGCCGCTACTCACCCAGCCTGTGCCTCCTGAAGTTAATACTCCTTCTTAGGTCACCCGTGGTGATGAATATGGATGAGCAGGCTTGCAGAAACACACAACCATGTTTTCACATCTGGGGTCGCTGGGAGGTTGCTTCTGTGAAGATGAGAGGATAATCTACCAGAATAACAAATCACTGGGAACTGGGGTAACCGGCCTGTTGGATAGGAGAGTAAATATATTGGGTCATACTACTGTGGTTCTATTATTTGACAAACTGTGTGGCCAATTTTCAAAGTGTAGAAGAAGAATAGCTTTTCCAAATAAAAGGAAAGCAGAAAATGAATATGAGCAATTGACAGTATCTTCACTTCATGTATTTCTAATGGCCTTATTTTTTGTCATGAAAGGACAAACTCCTCACTGCTTGCTCTTTCAGTTGTTCTGTCACTTAAAAAGGTTCAAATCGTATTAGTATTTTCAGCCAGATGCCTATTTGTAGCTTATGCCATGACAGTATAGAAAACAAACACACAACCATCTACGACAAACCACTGTTCATTACTGTTTTATGACACCCGCCTTACATGAAACTAACATGCAGTTTTAGTTTTTATATCCAAATGGATTCAGACTCACTGACGTAGATAGTGACTGTGGATAAAGGAGGAATTGTTCATTAATAAAGAACTTCTACATTTTTCTTTTTTAAACTGAACATGTCTTCTCATGCTGTCCTGAATGTACATCTGTTATAATGTCCTGCATTCAAATTATTAAGCATAAAACATATACTGCTACTCCTCATTCACTCCACAGTAGAGGACCTACACAACATCTCATTAGTCATAACAGAGGCCAAAGCAGGTTCTGTTTGAGATTATTATGTTCTAATAAATGTGCCATGGCAATCATGGACTCAACCTTGCTAGTGGTGTGGCTCTAACATGGAAAACTTCATCCTGACAAGTGTTGGGCAGCAACTCATTACTAGTAATAAGTAATACATTTCCCAGTAACTAGTAGTGTTACTTATACATATATAATATAATAATACAGTTACAACTCCAAAAAATAACTAGTTACAATTTGCTACCTTTTGTAGTTACTAAAGATTAGCATGTTTACATGCCAACTGTATACGCACTAACAAGCTAAATGTCACATACTACATGTAATTATGTAACTATACTACTCACTAATGGTTGCCCATTATTATGGAACTCAAACAATGCCTGAGTGCAGATTCAGGATGAGCACGCTAACGTGACATCTGCATCTGAAACGAGTACATTAGCATGAACAGCTGAGCCTAACAACCTGAAGCCACTATGAAGGATAAACCTTGTGATTTTGGTAATGTGAACTACTCTGATGCCAACCTTTTTTGTTTTCTGGGGTGAAATGAGCATCACAAGCGTGGTTATATACACTTCTACCTTTGGAGGACTTGGTAAAGATTGTCCGAATATTCATACTGCCTGCTTTAACACAATCAACTCTTAAGGGTAGTGTGCTGCTTTCTAACCAAATATACATCTTCACACCAGGGAGCCACCAGAAAGTAAAGCCTTGGAGAAACTAGGATTCAAGTGTCTTACTCAGAGTAAAGGAACATTAGGAAGTATACCCAGGGGTCTCAAACTTAACTTGGCTTTGGGGCCACTGCTGGTATTGTTGTCTCATAGGAGGGCCACTTCCAAGTACTACGAGAAAACGCAATATTTCCATTACTAAGATCATACTTAACAAAATAATGCAAACGGCAGTTTCAATACATCATTTGATATAATTTGTTTGTTTACAGCCAAACAACAAATGAAGGCCTGAAACATGCTCGAAACATCAACCGTTTGCATGGATTTGCCATTAAAAATAGTTTTTATTTTAAATTTTATATGAAGGGGTAAATAAAAACAAAAAAAATATATATTTAAAAAAATCTTACTAGCGGGATTTATATTATATTTTTGACTTCATGGCATGGGCCGGTGGGAGGCGGATGGAGGGCCAGAATTGGGCCTCAGACCAGCAGTTTGAGATCTGTGTTAAAGGGAAGTTTGCCTGTACATAACCTTACCAATATTTACCCCCCCGCACACACACACACACACCAGTGGATTCCACCATGTGACCACTATCACAAGCATGCTTCACAAACCCATCACCAACTACTCTCACCGTCTCAGAGTTAAGTCATTCTTTCTACATACTGCTGCAGACTCAGAAGATAATGTCTTCATCCAAAGACTGATGCTGCCATCAAGTGGTTGGATTTCTGTTCACCTAGGTTGAAAAATATGAATATACTGAATGTGCTGTGTTAATAATTCTGAATAATGCTTTGGTTTAAAAGTACTTCATTCATAAATTCAGGAGGGGGAAGTGACACATCAATAACAACATCTTACACAAAAGGTTTTCATTAAAGTGTATATTTAAAGATGGCTGAACAGAAGAACAATGTAAAAATGTAAACTCTGAAGTTGAGGGAGGGATTTCATCAAACATAAACGGTGTTGGGGACAGACGGCACTGAGCTAAGAAATGAGTAAACTTAGTAGAGGAAGGAACTGTTCCGCCGCTCCGAAGTGACACAAAATGTGAAAAAGGAAAATTAAAACATAAGAGGGCAACAAACTGTACATCACATTAAGGCTTAGTCGGAACTCTCTCCTCTCTTGACAAATGAGAAATCAAAGGACATGACACAGTTTTAGGCATTGTGTCGAAGGTCTGAAGCCTGAAATGGTGACACTTAGTTTCAGAGATCAAAGCAAAGAGAACAAAGCGATTCAGACACATTTAGAAAAAAAAAAAGAGTAAAGAAAAAACCAATAAACAGATGATACTAATAAGAGTTACTTTCTGTGAGATGTGACAAAACAAGAACAGCTATATGATGCATTAGTCTTTTGATGTGTCTTATTTGATAAAAAAGTTACTGAAGCGTGCACAAACATGAACTCCTTTAGTGTTTAGACATCTGAAGAACCCAGACACACAAAGAACAGTGCAGTGCCTATAGAACAACAAGTCAAAGGTTACGGCTCATTAGAGCTGTGTTCCAAGTCGATGAAGTGAAACCATTAGGCAACTAATCCATTATTCAATTAGCAGAAAATTGATTATTAACTATTTAAATATTTGATTAAACATTTAAGTCATTTTCCACAAAATTTCACTGGGTGCATCTCCGCAAATATGAATATTTGCTGGTTTCTGTTGTCTTCTACATTAAACTAAATATCAGATAATATGTCACCTGCAAATCTGTCTCTTTACGGAACAAAAGGAGGGGAATGGAATTAATTGGAAACTGTTTTGATAATTGAGTTATCAGTGTTAGGACTTGCTTCTTTTCACTGTTTGAAATCTATGTAAATAAAATATTTGGGGGTTTTGGCCATAAGACAAGACATTTAAATAAGTCAACTGGGCTCCAGGAAACAGATTTGAGATTTTAATTTAATTTGCAACACTTTATAGACAAGCGACTGCGGTAACTGATGAAATAATTGTTAGTTGTAGCCCAAATGCTTACTGACATAATTTAGAATAGCTCTTAATTCTACAGTATGAACAAATTACATTAGAGGTGAAACAATTAGTCCGTTTTTAAAGAAAAAAAAAAAAAAGCTGATTGTTACAGCTTCTCAAGTTTGTTTTATATCATTAAAAAAGGGAATATTGGGGGGGCTTTGGACTTTTGGTTGGACAAAACGAAATATTAAAAGACATCACTTTGACATTTTACAGACAAAACCCATAAATGAATAACACTCAGTTGCAGCACTATTGCTCACTGACATATTTGAGAATAGCATTTAATTCTACAGTGTGAATTAACTAGTCGATAACTTTTTGGAATTGTATGTAGTGTGGAATTGGGACACAGCTCTAAAGTACCCTAAAGATGGTCGTTAGTCCATCGTAGTTACAGACAGTGATGGAAGTTCTTCTCTTTCCCGACCTCAGATGTCTCAGAATAACTACCTCCTTTTCACAGTTCACCAATCTATTTCCAAACATCCTGAAAATGTCCAGTTTCCAATGCCTCAGTCTGGTCCAAGCACCCAACCTGCTGCATTGATAGATGATGAGCTAAACCAAAACACTAACAAAAGTAAAGACAGTCACAAATTAATGAGGCGATGACGACCAGCGAGGCACTAGGCTTTCACACTGACCTAGAGAGCTCCCTCTGCAGGAAGGGAGGCCTAATTTATTATCACTACTTTTTACACACAGTTGCCTGCTCTCGTCTTTAAAACCCTAGCAGCAGAAATGTACAATCTATGCAATTTATGAAAAAGGGGGTCTGGG